TTTAATCTCTCTTCATATATGACCCATTCTAAAACGCTAATAATTTTTGTTGCCCTTTTCTGAACCTTTTCCAATGTCTTTTTGATATGAGGCGATCACATTTGTATGCAGTATTCAAGATGTGCGTGTACCATGGATTTATACAGAGGCAATAAAATATTCTCAGCATCATTCACTCTCATTTTTTTTAATGATTCCTAACGTTCTGTTTGCTTTTTTCATTGCTGCTGCACACTGAGTGAATGTTTTTAGAAAACTATCCACAATGACTCCAACATCTTTCAAGTAGTTGTAGCTAAATTAATCCCCATTATTCTGTGTATATAGTTGGGATTATTTGTTTCAATGTGCATTACTTTACATTTATCAACATTAAATTTCATTTGCCATTTTGTTGCCCAATCACTTAGTTTGGTGAGATCTTTTTGAAGCTCTTCACAGTCTACTTTGGCCTGACCTATCTTGAGCAGTTTAGTATCATCTGCAAATTTTCCACCTCATTGTTTCCCTCTTTCTCTAGATTATTTGTAAATCAGTTGAATAGGATTGGTCCCAGTACAGACCCTTGCGTTACCTCGCTCCAGTCTGAAAATTTACCATTTATTCCTACCATTTGTTTCCTGTCTTTTAACCACTTATCAGTCCATGAAAAGACCTTCCCTCTTATCTCGTGACAACTTACTTTACTTAAGAGGCTTTGGTGAGGGACCTTGTCAAAGGCTTTCTGGAAATCTAAGTACACTATACCTACTGGATCGCCCTTGTATATATGTTTGTTGACCACCTCAAAGAACTCTAGCAGATTTGTAAGGCATGATTTCCCTTTACAGAATCCATGTTGACTTTCCCCCAACAAATTATGTTCATCTGTGTGTCTGACAATTGTATTCTTTACTGAAGTTTCAACTCATTTGAGTGCCTGAATTTGAGGAAGTATGTGTGAATGCATCCCTTGATTTAAATGGCTGCTATGCTGTTTAGCACTAAGAAGGTCAAGGCCTACTGTCATAATCCAAGTAGACATGAGTCCATTTGTAATTTCATTTCCTAACTTTGCACCTTTACAGTAGTGACTTTGTGCTCTTGAATCACTCCCCTCTCTTTAAGCCTCTTACCTACTTGCGTATTATCTTTTATTTAGTACAGGTTCTCTTCTATGCTTTAAATGAATCACAGAATCCTGGTATCACAGAAACATACAAATGTACTTTGCTAAGACAGGTGATTGAAAGACTGACATGCTTAATGTGGTGTCTGTTAAACATATACCTTCTTCACTGAAACTTAACTGGAATAGAACTGATAAAGGAGCATGTCTTTCCTTTAGCCCTGTCTAAGTAAGTTTCATCTTTGCCAGTGTTCATGATCCATCAGGGACAGCTAGGTATAAATCAAGTCAATAGGCTATACCAGTTTGCACCAAATGAGGAGTGGCTCAGTGCATCACCACCGTCTGTGTTGTGCTAAGCAAATACTTTAAATACACCCACACAGGGGAACCGCAAGGTAGGTGTGTTTGCAAGGCAAGGATGTAAAACAAACATGACTGTTAAGGCCCCTTTTCAATAAAAGCATTACTAAAATCTTAAGAGGAGATTTAATGTTAAGCCTGTCTGTAGCTGTTTCTTACGTCCTTGCCTCAGACCTTCCTCACCAAACACTGGTTCCTTACTAGTCACGCAATGCGTTCCAGCTGACTGGGCTAGTGCCTCGTTTCTAAAAAGGCTGGATTTATGACTGCCTTTCAGCATGCAATGTCTTTGGCTTTGATTAGCTCCATGTCTGTAGGCCAGTTAGAAGGGGTTCAAAGGAATGTTATGTTTATGTACGTTGAGGGGTTAAAATGACCACATTCTTTATGTTACTAAACACTTCATTGGCCCTGGAATGCATGGAAGGGGAGGGAGGGGGAATTTGTGATTGCAAACCAGCTGTCTTATCTTAAATTCTATTCATTTAAAAAAGGCATTGCACAGGTGATGGAATTGTTGAATGAGCGAGTGGCTCCATACACCTCAGGGACTTTGCTCAGGCTAAACGACTGGAAATCAAATGAGGAGCGTTAAGCTATTCCGAGCTTTGTTCTCACAGTGTTGGGTTACAGGTAACATTAGCTCCGGGTAGCCACAGCACTCAGGAATGGGGCCCCTGACACTATGAGAGCTGGAAACTGTTATGTATAAAACCAAAAGATGGTGCTCTTACAACATTGGAAGTGGTGGGGAGAGAACAATTCTAACATCCACTATATTCTACAGTGTCGGGTGTCAGCAGATATTTTAATCCTGTCGTTCTTCCATAGCTGTTCCCTTCCTCTCAGCCCCCGCCAAGTGTTTCTCATGCTTGTGGGAAAAGGTAACATAAGTGATATCTGGGGTTGATGGCAGAGTTCAGCAAAGCAATGCAAGTCCTGCCACTCTGGGTACGTCTACACAGCAGGGCTAAACTTGGAATAAGATACACAACTTAAGCTATTCAAATTGCCTAGCTTAAGTCGAAATAGCTTATTTCGAATTTGGGCAGGTCTGCACAGCACTTATTTCAAAATACAGCACTCTTCCTCTGACTTTCCTTACTCCTCATACAATGAGGCTTACAGAAGTTGGAGTAAGAAGCCCTTTATTTCTAATTTATTTTGAAACAACAGGCTTGCTATGTAGATTCACAATATGTTATTTCAGAATAACCTTTGTTATTCCAAAATAATGCTGCTGTGTAGACATGCTGTATCGGTGCTGAAACTAGGAGCTCTGGGAATGCTGCCCTACACCCTGACTTGAAGCAGTTTCCATCATATACAGGTTTTACAGTTTGGTTCAATGGCTCTCAGCACCCCACTATATAAATTGTCACAGCACCTCTACCTGCCCCCTCAGGGTGGGGCCACAAGTTCCAGAAACCAAGTGTGGGGGGGCCTCTGTAATAGGGCCAGGGAGAGGGAGAATAAAGGGCAGGAATGAATAGTAAGTTTTCAGAGTGGAGAGAGGTAACTGGTGGGGTCCCCCAATGGTCTGTCTTGGGACCAATCCTATTCAACTTATTTATAAATGATCTGGAGAAAGGAGGTAAACAGCGAGTTGGCAAAATTTGCAGATGATACTGAACTGCTCAAGATAGTTCAGACCAAAGCAGATTGTGAAGGGCTTCAAAAAGATCTCACCAAACTAAGTGATTGGGAAACAAAATGGCAAATGAAATTTAATGTTGATAAATATAAAGTAATGCACATTGAAACAAATAATCTCAACTATATACACAGAATAATGGGGACTAATTTAGCTACAATTACTTGAAAGAGATCTTGGAGTCATTGTGGATAGTTCTCTGAAAACATCCACTCAATGGGCAGCAGCAGTCAAAAAAAAAAAAAACCAAATAATGTTAGGAATCCTTAAAAAAGGGATAGCAAATGAGACTGAGAATAGTTTATTGCCTCTATATAAACCCATGGTGTACACACATCTTGAATACTGTGTACAGATGTGATTGCCTCATATCAAAAAGATATATTGGCATTGGAAAATGTTTAGAAAAGGGCAACAAAAATTATTAGGGTTTTGGAATGGGTCCTATGTGAAGAGAGAATAAAAAGACTTGGACTTTTCAGTTTAGAAAAGGAGACTAAAGGGGAATATGATAGAGATCTATAAAATCAAGACTGGTGTGGAAAAAGTGAATAAGGAAAAGTTATTTACTTGTTCCCATAACATAAGAACTAGGGGTCATCAAATGAAATTAATAGGTAGCAGGTTTAAAACAAACAAAAGGAAGTATTTCTTGACACGGCACACAGTCAACCTGTGGAATTCCTTGCCAGAGGAGGCTGTGAAGATCAGGGCTTTAACAGGGTTCAAAAAAGAGCTAGATGAATTCATGGAGGTCAGGCCCATCAATGGCTATTAGTCAGGATGGGTAGAAATCGTGTCCCTAGCCTCTGTTTATTAGAGGTTGGTAATGTATGACAGAAGAGGGATCACTTGATGATTACCTGTTCTGTTCATTCCCTCTGGGGTATCTGGCATTGGCCACTGTCAGAAGACAGGATACTGGGCTAGATGGATCTTTGGTCTGACCCAATATGGCTATTCTTATTAGTAAATCAAGACTTGCTGTTTCTCTAAAAGCTAGGCTCCAGGAAGTTTTGTGAGGTAGTCGTATGGTCTGTTACGTAGGAGGTCAGGCTAGGTCAGGGGTAGGGAACCTTTTTTGTGCTGAGGGCCACTGATCCACAAACAAATCAGTCGGGGGTCATACACAAGTGAGAAGCAAAAAATAAACAAAAAACCCCTCTGATTGATGTAGCCCCACCCCAAGAGGATACAGACACCCCCCCCCACATTCCCCTTGCACACCAGAGCCTAGGGGGGGGCCAGCCTAGCAGATTTTGTGTGCTTTCAGCTCTGCAGTGAGGTAGCAGGGGGGCTGGAGTATCAATGTGGGCTCCCACATGCAAGGGAGCCCCTGAGCTTTGGGGGCTGCATCCAGGCAAACAGGGATCTGCATCCAGGCAAGCAGGTTCCACATCCATCCCCCGAGCCTGAGGTTCCCCACCCCTGGGCTTGTTGATCACAATGGCCATTTCTGGCCTGAGAATGTGTAAATCTGTAGAGTGAACAGTTTGGAACAAGGCTCCGAAAAAACATTCCACATGCTTGTTGCAGCTCTCAGTATTACCAAATTCTGTATTTGCCAAAGGAATTGGCTACGTTACTTAAGATCTGGTTCAGAAGAGTGAAATATCACCCTTGATAAACTGCAGAAGAGTCAGTCACGCAAGGCACAGTAAAACTTTAAAGACATGAACACCAGAGTTACAGACTCGGTCAATCGGATACCAAGTGAAACCAGAAGTAACCAATCAGTCATCAGTAGAGACCCTTCCCTGCTTGGGGGTTGCTTTAACTTCTCCACCTCATTTGACAATCCAGTTTGGATAGTAAGACACCTGTAGCTTTCTCAGGTAAAAGAGTTCCTCTTCTTTTTTCTCTTTCCCCATTTAGATATATGCATCCTCTTCAGATCTCTGGTGACATTCCAAACGTGCAAGCACAATTCTGTGGGCCAGAAGACGCGTTGGTAAGCATGGGAACCACCGGGACTGGGAGAAGGATGTGCGTACATCACTGTTTACATGACTCTTCACAAATAACATAGCTAATCTCAAAAGAGGGCTGTGTTGCTTACTGTAGGGTTACGTTTTCAGTTTACAGGGGTAGTAATTGTACAGTGCAGTTGGTGCAGAAGTGGCTGCATTTAATTTGGTGTAACATTTCCCAGGGATGCCCAAGTCTGTGTGGAGCCTCACTCTCACCTGCCCATAATGTGAGGGAACCTTATCTGTGCCTGCAAGCGTCAGCTCCTTGACTCCCTCAACCAGGAGCAACACAAACCCTCCCCTGTGAGCCCACACAGGCTCTGCTGTACTTCTACAGGTTAGTGATTGACCTCAAGGCCCTCAAAGCATCCCCTGGAGTGTTCAGCCCCTACTTGACAGTCACAGAGAAACTGCTCTCAAAGCTACAGTCTACCCTGGCATTACAGTTACATCTCAGATCACCACTCTGCTTGACACGCAGCACTTAGTTATGTTTATCGTGAAAATAAGCAAAAGTTATTTTAACAAAGAGATCAGATTCAAGGAATAGCAAGTACGGTAAAAGTATTGGAAACAAATGGTTCCCTGTAAAGTAAATTCATGACATGAATTCTACAGCCTAGACTTAACTAACAATTTCCTGTCTAAGGAAGTTTAGTTCATCAAAGTCTTAGCAAAACAATGAGGAGTCCTGTGGAATCTTACAGACCAACAGATTTATTTGGGCATAAACTTTCGTAGGTAAAAACCACTTTGTATGATGCTTATGCCCAAATAAATCTTTGAGTATTTAAGGTGCCATTGGGCTCCTTTTTGTTTTTGCAGATACAAACTAACACGGTGACCCCTCTGAGTCTTTTCATCATGCAAAGTCTTAGTGGCATTTTCTAGCCAGCCTGGCTATGACCTTCCTTTCATAAGACTGGCAGTTGGTTTCCTTGCACCTCAAGTTATACTTTAACAATTCCTTGTCTTTACTTGTAAACAGGATCCCTCCCCATCCCCTACTCATTTTTTTTCTATGCTCCTTTCTTGTGTATTTCACAATCTTTTGATTAGCATTCGGCTTAGACTAAGCAAGCTTCCATTGTGAAGTGGACAAAACACATGGGACCATCTTGAGAGAGAGAGAGAAGCATCTTCTTCCAACCTGATGGAGCATGTTGATCGCCTTCCGGTGACTGGTCTTGCTTTACAGACCAGAAGAACACAAGGTCTGTACAGAAACATAACTTCTTAAATATTATACACACTTATATTTTGCTAAAATTAAGATAATCAGTAGATTATTGGGTCTCAGTAGAGACTTTACATGCCACTCTTCAGTGAATTATTGTGAATGTACTGGATCCAGGGGTTCCTATAAGCCCTTGTGCATGTCTTGTGCTGTCTGCCAGTTGGCACCAATGGGTCCCTGTGTCACATTTATGGATGACGTGATCCTTGTACTCTTAAGATACAGATTCACCCCTGAAATACTCCAGTTTTATGCCCGTATGATTCCAATAAATTCATGTCATTGTACTAATGTGAACGCCGACTATCACAGCATGACTATCCTAACAGGGCCAGCTCACAACATTTTGGCACCTGAGGCAGGGAACTCAAATGATGCCCCCTTGCCCTCTCGTTTGGGCCAAAATTTTGAAAGGTCTCAATTCTCTGGGTCCTAGTGGTGCCTCCCCCCCTCCCCCCCACAGTCTGGCACTTGAGACGGCCACCTCAGTTCATCTCGTGGTAAGGCCAGCCCTGTATCCTACACAGTGGTCTGCGTTGGAGAGTACAACATAAATGTAAAATACTAAGATATTTCTGTATATTTGCCATAGAAAAACTTCATGGCTACTGGACTGAGGTTAAGAAGGAGCCAGTTTCTGGTCATAGCTCCACTTGTGTCTAATTAGATTGCTAGCATGGTCTGTCTCTATATTTGTACTGTTTCTAACACAAAAAATAGGTAATTCTTCCTGATTGGGTGTTACTATATTCTAATAATCAAAAACTCTTAAAAAGCAGTTGCCTTATGTGGTCTCTTGTGAGGGGCAAGAGAGTAAACTGGGTATTTTAAATATATGTTATTTCTCTGCTAAATGTACATAACTTTATTTAATACTAACGAGAGTTAATCATAGGCTTGGTGATTGAATAGCATCTTAAATCTGTGATCATAATCTTTGTAATCTGTAACAGAATAAATGTGCTTGTCTATGTATTTCCATGAAGTAGGTGTCATCATCAATAAGTATTTCAATAGAAAGAGCATGGCAAATACTTAGAAATATAATTGCTTTGTTTCTTTGTAACTTCCTTCTGGCTCAGAGCAGTTGCTATGTGCTCTGTGATGTTCTTGTTTGTTTGGGATGTTTCAACTCCTTATCTCTAGTCTCTTACAGCTTGTTTCTTGAATTCGGGGTCAGGTTATTCATGTTTAATGACTCTTACAGGGCATGTTTTCATTCCAAACAGAAGGAGTATTGAATATGCCAGAGTAGGTTTCTTTTAAAGGGTTGATGTTAGGTCATTAGTTGAAGTGGGAGCAGAAACAATGAGGAGTCCTGTGGCACTTTTAAAGGTGAACAGATTCATTTCGGCATAAGCTTTCGTGGGTAAAAAACCACTTCATCAGGTGCATGAGTAGAACTCTGAGGCAGGATATCAAAAGCATATCAAAAGAAGGGAGTTACTTATCAAGCATAGAAATAGTGTTAACGAAGCCACTTCACACAGGATAGACCTACTCACTCCCACAGTTGATTGGAGGTGTGACTATTAAGAAAGGGAAAAATTGCCTCTGTAGATAGTGTATCATTCCAAGTTCTTATTCAGCTCTAATCTGAACATGTGAAATTTGCAAATGAATTACAGCTCTGCTGTGTCTCTTTGTAGTCTGGTTTTGTGTTTGTAGCAGTTTCCTTTTATTAGGCATGGTTCCTGTTGGTCTCCTACTGTCTCAATTCTACCTGCACGAGGAGGTTCCAGTGAAGATGAAAAAGGAAAAGTGCCTTCATAGATGTAGAGAGAGAATATCCTCATTAATGAGAAGAGGCTTAAAAAGGGGAGGAAAGATGGTCTTATGGATAGAGGCCAGGACTGGAAGAGTAAGTGAAATTGGCGTTTTTCCTACTGCTGCCACATATTACCTTGTGTGACTTTGAGCAAATTACTTTTGTGTAATTTCTGTGTTTTTTTTCATTGGTGCATTTTGAATATTTGCCTATCTTTCTAGGTTGTGAACTTTCATTAATGTCTGCTTAATACTTTGAGCTCCTCAGATGGAAGAGCTGACAGATTTTGCTATTTTATTAAAAATGCAGGGAGATGAACAAGTGTTCATTCACTCCTTTGCTGTGATATGTTCTCATTTCTGGTCCTGGATTGCAAGAAAAGTACAGCGCTATTTAAATGCAGTATTGCATAGTTACCAAACAGTGGGGGGAGGGGTAGCTCAGTGGTTTGAGCATTGGCCTGCTAAACCCAGCGTTGTGAGCTCAATTGTTAAGAGGGCCATTTAGGGATCTGAGGCATCTCTTTCAGTGATGGTACTTGGTCCTGCCGTGAGGGCAGGGGACTGGACTCAATGACCTCTCAAGGTCCCTTCCAGCTCTATGAGATAGGTATATCTCCCTATAAAAAAAATTATATAACAAATATTATGCAAAATTGCCATTATGCAGATATAGCCACTAGGCACATCTTTCTATCTGGGAGTAGCATCTCATTTCAGCTCAGGGTTATCAAGTTGTAACAAGCCTGAGCCTTAAGAGCAACTCTCACACTATCCTCTCTTGCTTTGTTAAGAACATCTCTGATAAAATCTTTAGTTCTTCAGAAGCAGAGCTGGTAATGTTGTGTGGACATTTTTAGATGTACTACTGGAACACTGAATCCCTGGCATTGTCTTTTTTGTTTTCCTCTCTCCCATAACATTTTGCTCTTCAGTTTCACTGTCTCTTCGGTTCCAGGAATTTGAAAGCAGCCTTACTGTTGTGCCTAGTTAACTTAGAGAAAGAGATGAGGGCCAACTGCTTCTCCTATTTCATTCCCTTGACAACAACGTGACTTCCTTTCCTTCCCTCATCCTCGCTAGTATTCAGTCAGTGCCATGCTACTATTAGGAAGCAGTGTGTGTGTTGGAGAACAGAAATGTCTAGTACTAAGCATCACTGAACAAGAGACAATATACTAAAGAACCAATATACCAGAAGAACATATTGGTGCCGACTGTGGCAAGAAGTGAAACTCTTACATAAGAACAATCATTGGATCAGCATAATAGTGCATTTGGCCACTGTCAGCAGACAGGATATTGGGCAAATGTGATATGCTTCAGAAGGAATGAAGAGAAAAGACAATCATTAAATGATCCAACTCCTGTCAGCCACTCCCAGCTTCTGGCAAACAGAGGTTAGGGACACTCGGAGTATGGGGTTGAATAGCCATTGATGAACTTATCCATAACTCCTCATGATGAACTTACATTCCCCTTCAACCAAGGGAGACTGATTCTGCCTGTAGTGGTGGAAACATTGATGGTCAGTTCTGGTTTAATGCCAACTCAGCCTGCCTGCCCCAAATTATCACATTCATTGAGCTCCATGCTGCTGTTTGGACAGGCTTTGGCTGGATAGTCACAGCATCTTTCCCATCCATTCAAATTGAGTCCTTTAGATTATCCTTGTGTGCTAGACCACATAATCAACTGAAGGCATTGGCAGGTCCAAGCCACCCATCTTGTAAGTCATTCCACTTAGCATGTGGCTTTTTTCCATGTGGAACAAGATGAACTATAGTCTAGGAAAATGTTGTTGGGGACGTACAGTGGATACATGCTGAATGCATTGCTGAGCTTTGAGGTTACTGTCTTCCTGAACTCTTACTCAAAGCAGGAAAGGTGCAGGTTCTTCCACTTACTTAGGTTATGATGCAGTTGGGAGCAAGAGAATTAGAGGTTGTCATATACCCTGTGTCCTAGATTTGCCATTCTGCATGATCTTGTCATAAAACCCTTACTATAATTAACAGGTGGGAGGCAGGAAGGGAAACTAAAAAGAAATACGGACTCATGATTTTAATTTCCCCAAAGAGGGGTTTTTCAGGTCTGATTTAAAATTGATTAAAATAATTAAAAAAAAATTGAGGAAGGACATCAAAAATGAGGAAAATTTAAGGTCGATGTTGAGTCTTCACTCTCTATAATCAACACAATGAAAA